GTTACACCACAGAGCTTCTGTATGGCTTTTGGTACTCCTTTGTGATCTAGCACCTTGATACTCACAAGGGTTTGCTGGGATGCAGAATCTATGACAAAGTTGCACTTTTGGCCGTCCAGCTTTCCTATCACGTAGACACTATGTGTTCTTGCCATTTTACACTTAGCTGTTGAGACTTTCACGGTGGGGGTTGGTGGGCGTCCCTCAACACCAACCACAACTGGTTCCCCGAGGCTGACTTTCTGGGTAGTATTCTTCTTACACTGGCTCCTCATATGTCTTTGCTCTCCACAGTTCCAACAACCTTTCTGGGTAGCAGTCTTTCCTGCCGTGGCATCTTTACTGTGTTGAAGTTGCTGGCATCGAGCTTTCTGTGCCAAGGTTCGTTACAGTGCCAGAAAATCCCTCAAACTTCTCTGAAAACTGCCCTTTTCTGGCCTTGAATCCTGATGACTGTACCAACCTTGGTACCTCTGTGTTGGACTTAATGTAGGATTCGAATTCAAGAGCTCTGGCCATTGCAAACTGCATAGTAGAGAAGTGTGCTTGCTTTACTTGTATCTTTAGTTGTGGACTATCCAAGGCATCCACAAACTGATCCCTCAGCAACAGCTTGAGGACATCAGGTGGTGCAGTTGGGTAGGCCTTGTGTGCCATACTTTCCATATCCTATGTCTTTAGCATGGACTCTAGTCCTAAACCTAGCCCTGTAGACTTTGGACTGATTTTGTGTTACATACCTGATTTCTAAAGCAGCTACCAGTGCTCTGTAGTTATGCCTGTTGTCTGCTGACAACTGTACAAGTATTTCCAGTGGTTGTCCCTTCAGACTCGTTGCCAGGTACACTGTTTTCTGCTCCTCTGTCCATCCATTCATTTCTGCCAGGAGCTAAAATTGTGCTCTATATGCTTCCCACGGTGCCTTCCCATCGAATTCCTGTGGCTTCCTTCATCTAGATAATCCCTATTGCTGACACTCATGTCTGGAATGTGACTTCTTGCATTACTGAAGATGTCTACATTAGGGTTTAACTGCAGGGTCTGGAGGGGCTTCCTGTTGTCTGGGGCTGATTAAGTCCATGGCTAATATATCTTCCCTGTGTAAAAGACAGTAAATCGTCATTTAATGCATTTAATTCACTTTGAAATTTACTAATCTTTTCCATTTGTACTTCATGCTGATGCTGTACTCTCTCACCTTGTTTTTCTTGCCACTGTTACTGACTTTCCTGTACTTGTTGGATACTTTATTTCTGTTTCTTTTCTCGTTCTTCTTGTTTCCTCTCTTGCTCCAGTTGCCACTGGTGCTGGTTTTCTTGTTACTGCTGTAGTCTCTTTTCTTGTTTATTTTCTTTATCCTCCAACCACTGCTGTAGTCTCTCTTCTTGTTTATTTTCTTTATCCTCCAACCACTGCTGTAGTCTCTCTTCTTGTTTATTTTCTTTCTCCTCCTACCACTGCTGTAGCCTCTCTTCTTGTTTCTTTTCTTTTTCCTCCAACTACTGCTGTAGTCTCTCTTCTTGTTTATTTTCTCGTTCTTATTGTTTCTTTTTTGTCTTCCAACAACTGCTGTAATCTCTCTTCTTGTTTCTTTTCTTTTTTCTCCAACAACTGCTGTAATATCTCTTCTTGCTTATTTTGCTGTTCGAGGTGCCACTGTTGCAGGATTTCTTGACACTAGTCTCTTTTCTTGTTTCTTTTGCTGTTCTAGTATTGCTTCCATCAAATCTGCTAAGTTGTAGTTTGATTTGCCACTTCTCGTTTCCATCTTTTTTTTCTCTTTTCCATCCCATTCTTTGACATCAATTTGTTACGTATCTGCTTGCTTATTTGTTTCTGGTAGAAATTATTTTCCGAGGATCTTCAATGATACAAGTCCTTACTTGATTAAACCAGTTCATTCTTCCTCAATACAAACTTTTAGTATACAGTAGTTCCACAATCAGTACGTTTCTCGTCACTTTGAACTTAACAACTTTTATTATACACGCTATAAATCACAGCTATTCACAATCTCGATTACATCGCTCTCGATGAGTACAAAACATACACTTTTTGGCTCACTAGCTCGAAACTAACAGAATAATAAATTACACGGAATTCAAAGTAACTACTGCTCTCTCTTCATTTATATATCCTGGATTTCTCTGCCAGGCTTATGTACTACCAAAGAGGGCATCTTGAACACACTCGGACTTCCCCGATCATTCGCGAAACTCATCATGCATGCCACCAACAACAATGCACCAGCAGCATCAAGTGACTTCCACTGTCGTAACAATATGTATAATTAATTTTGAAATTTCCATTTAATGCTAAAAATAATCTATTATTTCAAAAACACACGAAATTCTAAAGGGCGAAATATTTTTTCCTGTAACTTCGTTCATTCCTACACAACGAACCTAAAAATGGATTATAAGCCCGAAACAAATATTTGAATATGAGTGTCGAATGTATCTTACGTATGTATAAACAAATATGACTTACAAACACTGAAAGCCTTACGTTTTGTTGTAGTCGCAACACAAGTGCTCTCCCTCCATTAGCCATGGTTTGAGAATAACGAAGAAGTTGGTCCAAACACTCGGAAGGGGGCACTCCTCTCTCCATTACAAGTACAATTCTGGCCCACTATATTAGAAAACAAAACAAAAACATCTGCTAAACTCAGTGGACTGTTTAAAATTCCAACCAAATAGTAAATTTATTTTAAGTATGTATTTTCTTAACATACTCTGTCCTATACACACAGTCCTATCAGGCACTACTATACTTAACTGTTCTACAACAGTAGCAACAGGTACTACTATATTTAACCATTCTACAACAGTACCAACAGGTACTACTATACTTAACCATTCTACAACAGTACCATCAGGCACTATTATACTTAACCATTCTACAACAGTACCATCAGGCACTATTATACTTAACTGTTTTACAACAGTACCATCAGGCACTATTATACTTAACTGTTCTACAACAGTACCATCAGGTACTACTACACTTAACCATTCTACAACAGTACTATCAGGCACTACTATATTTAACCATTCTACAACAGTACCATCAAGTAATACTATACTTAACTGTTCTACAACAGTACCATCAGGTACTACTATACTTAAATTTTCTACAACAGTACCATCAGGCACTACTATACTTAACTGTTCTACAACAGTACCATCAGGCACTACTATACTTAACCATTCTACAACAGTACCATCAGGTACTACTATACTTAAATATTCTACAACAGTACCATCAGGCACTACTATACTTAACTGTTCTACAACAGTACCATCAGGTACTACTATACTTAACCATTCTACAACAGTACCATCAAGTAATACTATACTTAACCATTCTACAACAGTACCATCAGGTACTACTATACTTAACCATTCTACAACAGTACCATCAAGTAATACTATACTTAACCATTCTACAACAGTACTATCAAGTAATACTATACTTAACCATTCTACAACAGTACCATCAGGTACTACTATACTTAACCATTCTACAACAGTACCATCAGGCACTACTATACTTAACCATTCTACAACAGTACCATCAGGTACTACTATACTTAAATACTCCACAACAGTACCATCAGGCACTACTATACTTAACCGTTCTACAACAGTACCATCAGGTACTACTATACTTAACCATTTTCGAACAGTACCAGTAGGACCTGAAGCAACTGGAAATTTTTGAAGAAATTTCATCAATTGCTTCAATAATTAGACATAATTAAACATATGTTAGTTATACTTAAAGTAAAAGCTTTAAGAGTTTCAAGGGAAATAAACGAGTGTAGAAGGATATAAGAAAAAGAAATGGGACAAGGAGATGCCTGTGTTGAGAAATAGGCCTTGAGACTCATATTCTTTAGTCTAACTGTAAACTCCTCGAGTTAGCGACTTGTGGCTCCTCTCGTCACGACAAAATCCTCCAACAAGTAAATTTGGTGTACAGGTTGGTTTTAATTGAAACTCCAACAATTAAGCTCACCTGAGCGCTGACCTGTTACAGCTGGCGCAGTCTCGAGTCTCGAGTAGCTAACAAAAGGTTAGTTAGAGTAAAGAAAGACGGAAAAGGTAAGAAAGTCGGCCGAAGTAATATATGTAGTGTAAGTTAGAAATAAGTTAGAATTAAGTAGTTATGGCTACTACTGGGGTAGATACAACTACAGAGGAGGGTGGTGCATGCCCTAGAATCAATAGAAGGGCTGATGCTGATAATGAAGCCACAGCGGAACAACCCGCACCAATAGGGCCCCACGGCGCGACACACTTAACAAGTGCCATACCACTGTATCACGCTACTACAGACGAGTATGTCGAAAGCTTTATCGACGCATTAAATGAAGCAGGTAGAATATCAGGCTGGACTGATGGCCAGAAAGCTGATATACTACGTTTAAGAACAGCATGAGAGGCTAAACGTTACATTAGAGCTTATGGCGAGCTTCGTGAAACAACAGATTATCGATAGTAAGCTACTAGACGAGTACAGGACACGATAAACCACCAATGTCATTTTAACAGAAATGCGTAACCTTTATCAACAACGTGGCGAATCTGTCCGAGTTTTTGGACATAGGTTGCAGGAGTTAGGTAATAGATTACGCAAGGCTTATGCACATCCAAGTGAGGATATGCTGCAGGATACTCTAAAATCAGAGTATGAACAAGGGCTGTACAGTAATGCAGCTAGGGGACATGTAAATGAAGCAAACACCCCTCGAGCAACTTTATTATATCTAATTGAAGTAGCCACTCGAGAAGAGCTACGAGAAAAGCAGATCTATAAGCCTAAATATTCTGCTATAAATGCAGTCAATAACTCTAGCAAGGCTAATCTGGCTAATACACAAATGAAGCCCGATGGCTTCCAGTGCTTCAACTGTGGAAAAGTTGGACATATGGCTAGAAACTGCTTTCAAAACCAGAAAGGAAATGAGCAGACATTGTGCTATAACTGTGGCATTACAGGTCACATGGCACGAGACTGCCGACGCCCATGAAAGGCTGAAAATTTAAAAGCCCCAAAGGCTGGAGCTTACAGAAGAAGGTTTGCCAATAATAACGGTAGATCTACCTTCTCTACAGGTCCAAAAAACGTAATCCCCGCCGGGATTACAGAGCAAAAGTAGAGGTAGTTCCGGCAGTATGGGGTAAATGATCGAGTATTCATAATGTTAATGAAGTATCACCAATAGTTAAAGTAGAAATAGAAGGTATAACATGTCAGTTATTGGTTGATATAGGTGCTCGATCGTCTCTACTAAGTTCTGAACTAGTAGACAGAAATCCGACATTGTTGGATAATGCGTGGAAAGAAGTTTCCAGAAGTATTTTAACGT